GGAAAACAAACCGAAAAATAATAAATGAAAAAGAAAGAAAACTAACCCACCTCCAAAACTAATTCAAGAGAGGAGAGTCAAAGAGGTAGGAGGGTTAGCCTAAAACATACAATTGGCGGGGCTTCTCGAATGAGCATGATTGTCCACGAGTCGATTACACCGTAGGGCGTAGGATCGCCAACAACCTAAGAAGGTACAGGACCGCAGGGCGTAGGATCGCCAACAACCTAAGAAGGTACAGGTCCCCCACTAGTCTCATGTTAGTGAATGATACTGTCATCTTACAATTTATCAAGTCCTAGGATTGGGTCCTGATGTCGTAGGATGAAATATCATTCCGCTTTACCACCGGTGTGCCTTTGTCATCACTGCCCTAAGCCCCAAAACAAAACCGACCTACTTGCGACCTTGCTTAATGGTTCATATATAGCAAAATGCTATATATGCGCACTTATGCATCAGACATAAGCACAACAAAAAACTAAACCAGGAAGCAAGGAAAGCAAACCAAAAATCAAGAAATGAAAAAGAAGACCAATCCTCTTCCAAAACAAATTTAGAAAAGAAAAGCCAAAGCGGCAAGAGGGTTAGCCTAAAACATCTGACTCGCGAGATTTTCTCGAGTAAAAGAGATAAAATGAACTTCCCATACTAGTCATGAAACCTCTCCAAAAGGTATAATTTATAAATCTCCAAACAGCTTCCAAACTTTCACAAATATCACCAAGATTTCTTTTCTCTTCTTTCTTTTCTTTTCTTTTCTTTTTTTTTTATTGCAACCAATCTTTTCTCTTCTTTCTTTTCTTTTCTTTTTTTTTTATTGCAACCAATATTGCAATCAATTCAGCCTGTAGAATTGGACTCCAAACATTTCCAAACGTCTCATACATCATTCCTCAAAAGGGGGCATTCGCGTTCTTTCATTAAATTAAAAGTTCCCATGCCACATGAACCCCACACCTTCCAAAGGATTGCACATAAGCACTCATGACCAGGGCAGCAAGGAGAACCACCCAAAATAAGCTCACGGGTCAAGACAACAAGAGAAGCCCCCCCAAGCTCAGCTCACGAGCCAAGGCACCAAGATCACACAAAAGGACTCAACCATCAAGCTCACGGGCAAAGGCACCAAGAAGGGCAAGTCGAGCCCAAATTAAAATTATGATTGAACCACAGGTAGACACAACAGAAAAGGCTCAACTCAACCCTACAATAGCACATTCAACCAAATATTCATCACCCAGTCAACAGGAAATATTCGAACATAAAAGAAGGGCACTACAAGGAATGCTCATAGCCAAGAACATCCAGAGAAGCCACTAACTCCTATTCAGGCAGGGGTAGCGGCCAAAAGGGTAAACCGAGCCCAATATAAGGGAAACCACAATTAGGTGCTCTCGGGTAGGCTCTCGAATAGCTGCAGCCAAAGAAACCACCAACCCAAACCAACAGTTACCAACTCACGGGTAAGGGAAACCAAAAAGGGAAAGCTACCAGCCAACAACACAAAAGGAACCGCAATAGGGATGTTCACGGGTAGGAGCAAACAACAGAGAATCAAAGAAATAAAGCACGAAGGCTCACGACAATGGACAACCAAGGGAAACCAACATCCATTTAAGATATAAATCCCCGACCCAACAAAAAAAAAGACTCACAACCGAAAAGGCTCAAGGCCAGGAAAAGCAACACGAAGCCCCAAAGCAAGCCCAAAAAAAACTTCAAAATCACACCTTTTCATCTGCAGGTGTTTTGACCAGAGGAATAATCCATGAACAAAAGTAAATCTTCCTGAAATAAATTTTAAAAGCTCTCAAAAGACAACATTCCTTCCATTATATGATTCAAAAAGAGGGGCAACAACTGTAAGGAGCAACAACAAGACTCAAAGCAAATACAAAAGGTCCTAGAAACCAAATTTTAGTCGTTCATGCATTTCGAACGTAGAAGGCCTCAAAGAAACAACAAAACAAAGCCCCAAACATCAAATCCCAAGCCGAGACATACATTTTATTAAAACAGGGCTCTATCATTATTAAAATCGAGTTATTTTTCAAATTAAAACGGGGCTACATTCAGGCCCTGGGGCTACATGAGGGCCCAAAACCAATCCATATACTGTGCTGGAAACAACAACTAAGCAAGCTATAACAAAACCAAGCCCGAAACATTTTCAGCATAGAGCCAACCCGAAAGTAAAGTCCAACCCAACAGGTGACCAATACCCAGCCATCACAAGGCAAAATCGAGCCCAGCACAAAACTAAGCCATTTCAAAGCAAAAACAAGCCCAACACAAGGACAAAATTGAGCCCAGCACAGGAGGCAAACCGAGTCCAACACAAAGTAAATCCTCAAGGCTTTAAAACCCAAAGTTTGCATCTATCCGAACAGAGGTAACAATAATAGAGAGTTCAAAAGTCAAGTCTCAAATCAATATTTCATTCCACATGTGATTCGAAACAGGGTAATTAAAATAATTCCTTCTCATAATCTCATAAAAAGATTTCTTCCAACATGCATTTCAAACAAAGACAACAATAGTTATTCCATCTAACATGTACTTTAAATAAGTAAATGACAGCATAAGAAATTTGAAAAATTAAATTTTCACCCAACATGCAATTTGAACAAAGAAGATAGCCACAGGGAGCCAAAACTAAGCCCTAAATTGAGAATAAATATGAGCTTCTCTCTTTTTTTTTTCTCACATAATTTTTTTTGTTGTGCAAACCTCCCTAACATCCTTCACATTTTCTAGAAAAATGTATTTTTAATTTATGCATCTAGCTCATGTGTTCCAACTCCCCAATTCCATAACCATTCTCATTCCTAACATTAAACTCAATAAGTGCTTAAAGTGACCAAAATTTCCCAATTTCAAGGTGCATGAGAATGCATTCAGGGGCAATTCCAAGTGACACAGATTAAAAAGATTACTTTAGCAAATGTATTCAAGGGTCATTCCAAGTGACAGATTAGAAAGATTACTTTAGCAAATGTATTCAAGGGCCAACTTCAAATGACGCGAATTAGAAAGATTATTCATATCGTCAGGCAAGAAATCATCATAGAAAAATCTACTAAACACATTTTTATAAATTATGAATCCATTAAATCCAAGACATGAGAATAGGTAAAACAGATATCTCCTTTGAATGCTTGTAAAAAGGAGGAAGAAAATTATCTCTTGATGTAGATTCAATAGTAAACTCAAGAACCAATCTAAGGAAATAAAAATCAGCAAAAATCTCCTTTAAGATCCTTGATGCAAAAAATATCTCGAAAACCTCGAGAAATACAACAGCAAATGTTTACGATCAAAGATGCCCCAAATCCTTTCTCTTCTCTCAAAATTTTCAACAACCCTTGGTAGTCAAACACACAACCAAGCAAGAATATGGAACCGACAAGCAAGAGTACCGAGCAGCCCAGAAAGAAGGCCGAGCAACTGAATAGGAAATCTACGCAAGACAAGATTTTGGCAGCAGCTCCACCCTGCTTTTCAATTTTCGGCCAACCCTAAAGACCTTCCCAAGGTGGGGTTTTATAGGCAAAAGAGAGAGGAGAATTCGCGATCGAACCAGGAGACGAGTGAGCTAGGGTTCTGCTTGGGTGCGGCTGATAGCGGGAGAGGAGAAGGCGATCGTGCGGCAGGACCGACTCGCGATCGAACCAGGAGACGAGTGAGCTAGGATTCTGCTTGGGTGCGGCTGATAGCGGGAGAGAAGGCGATCGTGCGGCAGGGCCGAGTATTATTATTATTATTATTATTATTATTATTATTATTATTATTATTATTATTATTATTATTATTATTATTATTATTATTATTATTATTATTATTATTATTATTATTATTATTATTATTATTATTATTATGTTAATATTTGAAAATCTCGATTTGTGCATTTTCACTTGTGCATGAAAGCATAGCAAATTGGATATCTGTTCTAGGTAATTTTAACGTTTCGGACGCGCCGACGCGGTCCGTTTCGTCATCTGGTGTCGTCCGGACAACCTCTTCGACGTCGGGTAAAAAATGCGTCAAATTCGATTTGTCTTTAAATTTCTGGTTCTTTATCGGTTATTTTAAAAATTGAATTATGTTCCGATTAATTGTGAAGTTTTTACAGGTGTAGGTAACGCAAATTGTGGTATTTGTGTGTGCGAATGCACTACAGTCATTATGAGTGTCTTGAGGCTTTTAAACCCTATGGGATCTCTCTTTGGGTCTCCGCATGATGGTCCTTAACCACTCGACCAAATGATGATGGTCCGTGAACACAATTACTCGATCAAATGGTTATGGTTTGAGACCACTCAGGCGAGATACTACAACAGAATCGGGAAGTGGTTCGAATTTCTAAAGGAGTAGGTCCAGCTCTAGTCCTCTAAGATAGTCAATAGAAAACCATAGAGCTAGATCCTAGGATCTAAGGAGAGGAGAAATGACCTCAAAATGAGGTCAACACATTGGTATTGAGCTTTCACAAATCTTGGGCAATTGCCTTTAAATCACAGGATGTATTCATAAATGTGGGTAAATAAGAAAGGAATGGAGGTGATGTATTCTTGACTAAGGTAAAAAACAATTTATAAGCCCATGTTAGAGAGTAAAAAGTTGCGTCACCCAAGTCTATCAAAAGCCTCCACATGTCACCAACTAATCTCTTAATAATCAGAAAGGATATTTAGCGAATATAACAATTATGTCGCTTAAAATGCATCATAGAAACATATATTGGCATTGTTTTTGTTGTCTGAAATAAAGGTCTGCAAACAAAATTCCAGTCCTTATCATGCATCGACGTGGCTATGCCAGTATTTAATCAAACTTTTAAGCATACAAGTGTTTCTCAAGTTATAATAATCCAATCTGCATTGAAAAGTATGATAGCTTTGCTATCATATAGAATCCAAGAAAACATCAATGTTAGATAAAATTCAGATATAAAACAGATCAACAAAAACATCTCATAAAAATCATTAGACTTGTACCCATTATGCTCTAGTCCAAGCTCTTTAACCTCCCACTTAGCATTGGCTATCCTATCTGTATACCTGTAATAAAAAATACTAAATCAAAACTTAGGTTAACAAAGAAAGGAATGTGGGTAATCAAATCGGCAGAATTTGCATGCTAGCACAAGGCAGTATCAAGACTTACACATCACATGAAGCAAGCAACCAAACCTACATGTTAAGTTCCTTCCCTTCCCTCCTTATGTTCTTATATATTTTTTTTTTCTATACAATACTAAGAGCTTGTTTGGGATCAGTTTGGTTTTTCTTGTGTTTGGTTTTTTCTTTTTTAAAGACATGTTTGTTTATTGTATTTTTTATATCTTTTATTTTTTGGTTCTAAACAAATTAACATGTTTTTTCCACTTGTTTCGAGGGTAATAAAATAATCAAACATTTTTTGTTTCAATTCAAAACATAAACAAAACAAAATAAAAATAAAAAATAATAAAATAATCAAACATTTTTTTTTTCAATTCAAAACATAAACAAAACAAAATTAAAAAAAAAAAATAGAATAAAAGACATAAATGATCCCAAAGGCCCCTAAAAATTTGGTTGAAACAAAGAATGAACAAAATCTAAAAAAAAAAAACATTCAAAAAATAAATATGACCAGTTCTATTTTCAGCTCTTGCCAGAACAGAATGCAACCACATCTCTCATTCCACGTGTTCATAACTGATTACACAAACTAAACCAAATAACAGCTTATACAATTTAGCATAGAGATCCTACTAGGCCAGAGCACGCACCATAAAAAAGATTCTGTTTTGTCTAGATAGAATGTGAAGAATATTCCTAGAGCGACGCAAATTCTTAAGGGCAATTTACATACATAGCACCCAATTCTTATGTATTTACATAGAACCTAAACCTTGCTTGCTAAATTTATACCACCCAAATCTTTTATATCACATAAAAGTACCATTATTAAAACTTTTAAAAAGTGAAATACATATTTCATGCATAGGTAATGTGCAATATGTAAAAATTGAAGTATAGGTGTTAGATATGTCAATAAAAAAGAATAGACGGGTATGTATGTAAATCTTCCAATTCTCATTTAGTAACAATGCTCTTCGTAGGCTCATGTCAGCCAAAGAACTTGCTACTTAAAATAAAAAGGAGCAGAATATGCAAAGCTTAAATCAGAGGACAAAGGCACAAAAATGCCCAAAAAGGGATAGGATTAAAGTGTAATTTTATGAAAAAACAATATTTTAATCACAGGATCTTGAAAGATCATGAGAGATATAACTGGATAAAAGGATAATGCAAGTTGAAAATCAGAGGGCCAAGTTACACAAAGACAACAGATAAAATAAACGTTTTGTAAAAATACAAAAAGAATATTCTTGAAGGGTCACAAGAGAGTTGCATAACCTGATTCAACGTTACCAATCAACCGAAATCATTCAAATGAAAATAAAATGAGAGAGGCAACAAGCAGAATGTTGAAGCCAGTGATATTTATTTTCGCAAAATATCTTGAAGGTCTAAATAGAGTCAAACAACTGGATTTAAGAATAGCTCACAATGAAAATCAGAAGAAAATGCTACAGAAAAGTGCAAAGCTGACAAGACCAAACTGTAACTTTTACCGCAAAAATATCAGAGATTTATAAAGCAGCAACTTTGAAAACCTAGGGACCATATAACTATAGCACCAATCAGCAAAATTACCTGCAAGTAATTGCAGATGCATCATGTAAAAAAGTAATGAGTAAAGTGCCAAAATAGTCCCCATATTATTTACATGGGTCATTTTAGTTCCAGTTTATAGAACTATTAATTAATTCCTACAATATTTTAATGGGAACTAAAATGGTCCTCACTAGGACTATTTCAACCCATATTAAAGAAGTTCGAGGGCTAAATTGATCCTTTTTTTAAACTATGGGACTAAAATGACGCCATGCAAAGATTCAATAAACAATTTTGACACTTCTCTAAAAAATTAATAGATGTGAAGAATCAAAAGAAAGGACTTTCTCATACAAATCAGGGAATTTCAGTTATCATCCGTGCAGATGACTAGTGCTCTTTAAAATTCAGGGGAACCACTCCCTCAGATGCATTTACTATTACATATATGACAATTTTGACACAATATGAAAAGGGGAAGCTTGCAAAAGCAAATCCATGGCAGTCTGATGGTCAGTTAATATCCAAATCGACTGCCACCTTTGAGTACGGAATTTGAAGGCAAAAGAAAAACATTGATACTGAAAATAGTCTCAAGTCCACATTCTTTTTCTACCCTAGATCTGCGCCAGCAAGAGAGAAAAAAATGGAAGAATTACATACACACCATTTAATTCCTATGTATTTATATATCTAACACCTAAACTACAATTTTTACATACACGCCAACTTACCTAGGTGTATTTCATTTTTTAAAAGTTAAAATGGTAGTATTTTTTATGGGTAGGAACAATTTGAGTGGTATAAATGTAAAAGTAAAATTTAGGTGTTGGAGCTCTAAATACATGGGAATTAGGTGGCACACATAATTATGTGATAAAACAGCAAAAAAAACTGAGTTCAGCTGAGAGCACTGGATGAGTTATCGTTTTTACAAACCAGTGAAAACTTGCAGTAAAACACAAGCCAAGGTATCTAAATCCATAATGCAGAAAGAAGTGATAACTAATACTAGTAGCACTACTACTACTACAAAAAAAAAAGAAAAAAGATTATACGACTTTACCCATTGATATGAAGAAGCATTCTCGCAGTTGTCTTATGAATGTGTTCAATTAGATCAGGAACTGAATCTACCTGAAAAAAAGAAAGAAATTAGGGGCACTTAGCTACATACCACCAAATTTCCTGTTACATATCTAATGCCTAAATTTTGCTTTTTTATATTTATACCACCTAAATCTTACATATCACATCAAAATACTACCATGTTAAAAAGTGAAATACATCTTTTCATGCATAGGTATGCAAAAATCAAAGTTGACATGTTAGATATGCAAATAAATAGGATCAAAGTTGACAAGTTAGATATGCAAATAAATAGGAATTGAGTGGTAGGTTTGTATATCTTCCAAGAAATTAATATCATGTTTCAACTAAGCACATTACATCAATTCTATAAATTGCATTTTGTGTTGCAAAAAATGATTGAGAACCCAAAGGCAATCATACCAGATTCCCAAAGAAATCCTCAACCAGAGCGCCGTTCTGCTGAAACAACCTCGACTGAAGATGAGCTTTGGATCTATGCAAGATCTGAGCAACGTAAGATAACGTCTCAGCGGCAACACATCTTTCCTGTGGCATATAAAATCAGTGATCTTCATACACAGAACCAAACCAAAATACACTTTACATGATAAAATTAAGAGGCATTTACATACATACCACAAAAATCTTATGCAAATATCTAAGAACTAAACATTCATATTTACATGCATGCCACTCAGAACTTTAACATCACATAAAATATACAACCATCATTACCTTTAAAAGTAAAGAACATTCTTTCATGCAAGGCTTATGACATCAAGGTGTTATCAGTGTAAATATCAAACTTTAGTTAGATATGAAAATACATAAGAATTGTGGTATGTATGTAATTTCCCTAAAATTAAGCTACTACAGAAAAGACACATTTTTACTGTGGAATAGGAAATCAAAATAATCTTCAATGCAGTACCAGAACAAAACATGCTTCACAAAATAAAATCAAGAAAATAGAGGAAGACAAATAAGGGAATACTTGGAACATGAGAGGAACAAAAATGTAGGATTGATGCAGCAGCAGCAGCAAGAACAACAACAAGCCTTTATACCACTAAGTGGGGTCATATACATAAATTCTTTTTCTCCATTGCGTCCTATTGAATGTCATATTTTCATTTAATTCTAATAGATTAAGATCATTTTTATTACAATATGCCCAAGTACTTTTAGATCTTCCTACGTCTTTCTTAACATAAGTCTAACCTAAAACATCTACTCTCCTATCAGGATCATCACATGGTCAACGTTTAATGTGACCAAACCATCAAACACGACTCTCTCTAATCTTATATGTCGCTGGAGCCACGCCAACCCTATCACAGATATATTCATTTCGCATTTTGTCTCTAGGTGTCAAGCCACTTATCCACCCAAGCATTCCATCTCAACAACACACAAGTTTATTTTATGCTTCTTTTTTAAAGGCTAACAATGTCAAACCACTCATCCACCCAAGCATTCCATCTCAACAACACGCAAGTTTATTTTATGCTTCTTTTTTAAAGGCTAACATTATGTGTCAAAGAGCCTTGCCGGTCTCACCATTACACATTCCAAAGATATAAAAGGAAAATTGAAACATAACCGAAAAGAGCTTCCTATAATACCAAGACCTGTTGTTGTATTTACCGCATATTACCACCTCTCTCTCTCTTTACTTGGAACATGAGAGGAACAAAAATGTAGGATTGATGCAGCAGCAGCAGCAAGAACAACAACAAGCCTTTATACCACTAAGTGGGGTCATATACATAAATTCTTTTTCTCCATTGTGTCCTATTGAATGTCATATTTTCATTTAATTCTAATAGATTAAGATCATTTTTATTACAATATGCCCAAGTACTTTTAGATCTTCCTACGTCTTTCTTAACATAAAGGATCATCACATGGTCAACGTATGGTCAACGTTTAATGTGACCAAACCATCAAACACGACTCTCTCTAATCTTATATGTCGCTGGAGCCACGCCAACCCTATCACAGATATATTCATTTCGCATTTTGTCTCTAGGTGTCAAGCCACTTATCCACCCAAGCATTCCATCTCAACAACACACAAGTTTATTTTATGCTTCTTTTTTAAAGGCTAACATTATGTGTCAAAGAGCCTTGCCGGTCTCACCATTACACATTCCAAAGATATAAAAGGAAAATTGAAACATAACCGAAAAGAGCTTCCTATAATGCCAAGACCTGTTGCTGTATTTACCACATATTACCACCTCTCTCTCTCTCTCTCTCTCTCTTCCCCCAAACCCATCCCCCCTCTTGCCATCTTCAGCTCTCCATAAAAAATAAAAAATAAAAAAAAAATCAAAGCAAAATAAAGATAGAAAAGAGATGATATGGGAGAAAATAACAGGCCTTCTTCTCCCAAGTATGAATAATAATTACTTTAAATAATTTTTTATAACGAAAAACATGCATGATTTTAGCAACCACCATTTGATTAATTTTATAAAAAAATGACAATTTTATCTGAATAAATGACTCTGATAAGGGATAGAACAACAACAACAACAAACCTTTCTCCCCATTAAGTGGGGTGCGCTTCATGAATCTTTTTTCTCCATTGTACCCTAGTGTCATATTTTCATTTAATTCTAACAGATTAAGAGCCCTAGTGTCATACTTTCATTTAATTCTAACAGATTAAGATCCTTTTTTATTCAATAAGCACAATTTTTTTAGGTTTACCTCTGCATTTAGCATAAGTGGAATCTAAAACATCTACCTTCCTAACATGATCATCAGTGGCCGACGTTTAAATGAAGTATTGATGCAAATAGGCATAAAATGATCTTTACACTAAAGAGTAGTATTTGTCACAACTCAGCCCTAGAGTTTGGAATACCAAAACAGGAACAGACGGTTAGACGTTCTTATCTAAACATTTTTATTATTCAAACAATTTTTTTTACATAAATAGATTCATCTAAAACTTAAAGAAAAGAATAAACATTGGATGCAGGATATTAATTTCGCCAGGTATAGTTTTAATAATTGTCAATTAATGTCACTAAAAGATCAAATAACATACTATCCTAATGGCAATCAATGTTAATCAAATATAATTTATTATTATAGCTACATCAAAGAAAAGAGCTTGACTAGAAAAAAGATATTTGATTATTCTGAGCAGATGGTTAAACATGATTTTCGTTTACAACAATTCATTTTTAGTCATGGAAGCAAATGTAAATAATTTAAAATTAGACTTTTAAGTAAAATTAAAAATATTTTAATTTTATTTAATATTTTCTTTTAAAATGTAAAATTTATATTTCTCATATGCTTAAACTATCTAAGATTTGTTTAACAGAAGAAAGAAACATGTGACATATTTTCATTCATGTACATAACTCCATTTGCATGTTAAATGTTGGAGTTACCCTTGAATGGTACTAGCTAGGAGACAACATACTAGCGCACGTAAAAAATATATATCGTCTATTTTTTTGGTGGATTCTGAAAAATGTTATAAAAAGTGTACTTTTAGTACAAATAGATGGAGACTCACTTTTACTACAAATAGATGGATATTTTATATGAAATAAATAAAAATAACAATTAAACTGATTTATTTATTATCTCATGTTACTATTTTATCGTTGATTTTTCATAAAACATGAATATGCAATGTTTTATTATACATATAAATGTCTTAAACGTGAATTATTGTAATATAGAAATATTTTACCCACCGAGTCATTTAACTCATACTTTAATTAAATATATTCAGAAAATTTCCCTTTGAATAAATGGACAATAGAAATTATATCTACAAATGACAGGAGACACTAGAAGAAATCAAGTTATCAAGTTCTGTTTTTATAATGATGGTAAAAGTTGAATTCTGAAAAATTTTTATAAAAGAATTGGGTTTTAACGTTACCTATTATTCCCAAATCCCAACTAAAAAAAAAAACATTCCAGTTAGTCTAGGAAAAGAAATAAAGGGAAATTTACATACATAGCACACAATTCTTATGTATTTACATATCTCACACACAAACCTTCATAGTTACACGCATGACACTTTGGTGCATTAAACCTATGCATGAAAACGTGCATTTCACTTTTCAACGGTGATAATAGTGCTCTTTTTGATATGCTATAAAAGATTTGAGTGCTATGTGTGTAAATGTGAATGTTTAGGTGTGAGAGGTAAATACATAAGAATTGTGTGCTATGTATGTAAATGCCCCTAAAATAAAATATAAATTGATACCTTAAGCCCAAATGCAGTACCAGGCACAGTTCCTGAAGGAATGGTTGGCATTACATCACTATGTGCTAGCAATGTGCTGATTGATTTAGGTGATGATGAAAACTGTTGATTTTGAGGTCTAATCCCCTGGTCGCATTCTTGAACAATTTTTGACAGGGAAGATTTAAGTCGAGCTGGAGAAAACAAAGAAAAAGGAAGCACAAATTAGAAGAACAAAGAATATAGAAATAAAATCTTGACCACTTACCACTTTGATTAGCATCCCGCTGGCCAAACACCTCAAAAATAAAATGATAAAATACCCCAAAAAGCTGGCTGATGCCCTGCAACAAGATGTTGAATGTGAACAAGACAGCAAGTGTCTAAGAATGCGAATATAAAGATAATGGAATATTAACATACATACCACTCAATTCCTATGGATGCACATATCAAAAACCTAAATTTTAATTTTTCCATATATGCCACCATATTTCACTTTTTAGAAGTTAAAATAGTGATATCTTTTGTGACATGAAATATTTGGGTGGTAGAAATGTAAAAAAGCAAAGTTTAGGTGCTAGATATGTAAATGCAAATGAATTGGGTGGTGTGTATGTAAATGGCTCTAAAGATATATATCATAAGGTCAGAAAATTGGCATACCTTGAAGAAATCAACATTAACAATTTCCAATTTCTGCATTAGCCTCGCATATTTGTCCATTAATCTGAAAAAAATGATTTCACTATTGTAATTATGATGATTACATAATACTTATAACCTAAATTTTGCAAATGTGGAATGTACCTCAATAAACATATGGATGAACCAGTTTGTGCTGAAGCTTCATCATCATTCCAACATGCAGATTTATTTTTTGGATTAACAGACTTTGATATTCTACTGGGAAGCTGGCTATCTTCATCAATAAAGTCGGCTAAAAGGTCTTCATTTTCATCTTCTAAAATAAGGCCACCATTTGTATGATTTTCATAATGGCCCTTCACTTGTAGACCATCACTGTGTGACGCAAAAATAATTTTTGTATCCGCTAAACTTGATACCAATGATCCATTAACTAAAGATTGAGTATTTGATAGTTCTTTAGAACCATTTGATAGCTTTGAAGAAAATGGATTACCAATACGAAGCCAATAAGAAAACCCATCCTTTTTCTCATTGTCAACAAATTCAGAATTTTTCTTGGACTGATTTGCAGAGACTGCCAAAGTATTGCTTGAAGAAAGAACAATTAAGGGAGCACCATCACCAATAAGACCGGCCAAACTAACTAATTGCATAGTCTCTGCAGATAGCTTCATCCAATTCTCCCTTTCCAATACCATTTTAAGTGCCTGATAGCAACAAGGTTTCCAGTGAAAAGTACAAAATTGAATTCATTCAGTTACACGAATAGGAAAGATTGAACGAAATCATTCTTCCCTCAAGATAAGGTACACGGGCAGTAACGCAACAAGAATGTTTCAAACGAACAAATGTTAAAAATATGTGGCATTTACATACATACCACACAATTCCTATGCATTTACATATAAAAACAAAAAAAATTGCATTTGACATTTGTACCACTCAAATCTTTAACCACATAAAAAATATCACTATTTTAACTTTTAAAAAGTGAAATACATCTTTTCATGGAAATGTAAGGTGGCCTATATGTAAAGATTAAAGTTTAGGAGTTGGTTATGTAACTACATAAGAATTGAATGGTATGTACTTAAATATTCCTAGGAATATCAAAAGATGTATTGACACGGGGCTCGAGGGAGGACCGGCCGGTCCGGCCTGTCCTCAAGGGAGGGAAACTGCCTCCCCCCTCCTTCCCCTTCTTCCTTTCCCTCCCCTTTTTCCTTCTCTTCCTCCTCATTCCTTCCTCACCTTTCCTTTCTCTCCCCCTCAAACTTTCCTTCCTAAGCACTTTCCTATCTTAAATCCTTCCTAAAATCTGAAATCATGCTTATATTTTATTCCCCCTTCTTATCTTAAATTATTTTCTATTTTAAATCCTTTCCTGAAATTTGAAAACCTGATTATATTTTATTCCCCTTTTTTAAATTAGGTGTTTCCTAAGATAAGTTAAGCCTCTTTATAAATAGGATGATGTACCTAGAATTAGGGGTCTTGTTTTGATATATGAATTCAGGTTTTAACATTGGTATTCTCCCTTTGAGGGTTGTATCCAACATTGAAGTAGTGTTTCGTTTGTCCCTAGTTCGAGGTGGTGACCGTCTCCAAGGGTTCGAGTGGTGCTCCGACTGTATCTTAATTTTGTCGAGGCATTTATCTTATCACACTTTCTTTTTCCTTGTTGTCCTACTTCTTCCACAGTAGCTCCAGCACTCCGACCCCCTAGTCGCCTTCAGCCCATCACCCAGCCCCGCAGACCGTCGTTCTACAGCCAAATCTGCCACCCAACATTCCATCTTTGCTGCCGCCACCCTCGCTAGCCATCCCGATCCATCTAGCCAACCTCCACCGCCCTTGGGCTACACTTTTGAGGTGTTCGTTTGTGTTTTTTTTTTTCATGTTTTAGTAATGTTATTTTCAGTTTGTGTTGAAATCCTATTTCCACATAAATAAAAGTCGCCTTTGTTGTTTGGGATTTCTCCTCTGGTATCATTTGGTATCAGAGTTGACCCAACTTTAATCACATCCTAGGGTTTCCTAGCATCCGCCCCCACCCAAACCACCTCCGCAAAAAAATTTGTTCTTTCCTATCCCCAACCATAGCCAAAAACATTGACCTAACCCTCAATTCCTCTTGTTGATATTCAAAATCAACAACCCTAAGTTAAATTTTTAAACCTCTCTCACCTTTTAACTCTAAACCTTAACCATGCTACTAATGAGATACATGCTCGAGCCTTCCCGAGAAGAAATACAACGAGAGATCCGCCTACTTCAGAAGTGAATTATGAACATTGAAGATGTGAGCCGAAGGGGAGAATGAGAAGACATGAAGATGAAGCAGGAAATAAAGTGTCAGTTCCTACCAACTCACGACTGCAAAAAATGGCAGACACTAGATTCCAAAGCGAAGAGATCGCATCACCAAGTGACCTCCTCTTACTACTATCCAGCAAAACCAATTCGCAAGTTTGTCACAACCATAAAATATTGCAAGTGCCACAGATTTCGAGAAGTGGAAGGAAAATGCACAACTAAGGGAGTGATCTATTTCATAGAGCAAGGCATTGAAACCAGAGGAAAGGACACTACATGCACTGAAGAAAGAACTTTTGATACGATAAAGTCTTCCCACGTGGACCTCCCTTGTTCGTGGATATATCCAATATCTTTCCTCCATGTGATAAAAAAAAACATGCAACTTTTGATGAGATTGTGGTTCCTCCACTCAAGAAAATGGAGAACTCTTTGGTGAGACAAATAATGATCACACATCCCAGAAGCTGTTAGACTATAAAATTTCAGTGGATAATCTTAGTGACAACCAACTGATAGCATCACAGACAGCTACACATCCAAAACCCATCCGCAGTGCTCCGCATGAAGATACGAAAGGCAAGTGTGAAGCTCTTGTTAATGGAATGCAATAAGAAATGTCAATTCACCAAAACTTCAGGAGTCAGAGGTAAAACCTTGAAAATAATAAAAATCACCTATCAATCAAACTTTTGCAAGCCCCTCAACCCCGCTGAGGCCCAACTTGTCATAAATGAGAAGCATATGAGTTATTTACTTGTTTGAAATTTGGCTTGAAAGAACCTACATCGCTGAATACCTTCGACGTAGATTATGCCAAACAAGTACTGATTGATAGGAAGGTATGCTCGCAGGTGGGAAAAGCTCCTCAGTCGGTTTGGGCGTCAGGACAGTCGTCAGTGGGATCCAAGAAGAACCACATTGAATCAGAAGCTTTGACAGATGAAGTTGAAGCTCCCTCAACTCTGGGAGACTGGCACGGTGACGCTGCTGCCACCTCCTTTCCCTTCTTCGTTTTCCTCCTTCCCTTTTTACTTCCTTTCCCCTTTCCTCTTCTTCCTCATTCCCCCTCAACCTTTCCTTTCTCTCCCCCTTAATCTTTCCTTCCTAAGCACTTTCCTATTATAAATCCTTCCTAAAATATGAAATCAAGATTATATTTTATTCTCCCTTCTTATTTTAAATCTTTCCTTATTTTAAATCATTTCCTACTTTAAATCCTTTCCTAAAATCTGAAAATTTGATTATATTTTATTCCTTCTTCTTAAATGAAGTGTTTCATAGAATAAGTCTAACATATTTATAAATATGATGATGTGCTTAGAGCTAGGAGTTTTGTTTTAATATCTGAATCCAAGTTTTAACTTTGGTATTTTCCCTTCGAGGGTTGTATCTAACACCGAGGTAGTGCTCCGGCTGTCCCTCGTCTGAGGTGGTGATCGCCTCCAAGGTTCGAGTGGTGCTCCGGCTATATCTCGACCCCACCGAGGCATTTATCTTACCATACTTCTGTTTCCATGTTGTCCTACTTCCACAACAGCTCCACCACTCCGACCCTAACTGCCTCCAGCCCACCTCCCAGCCCCAAACCTATGGTCCAGCCCCTCCAAATCGGTTGTCCAGCCCCACAGCCCCCTGTTCTGCAGCCAAATCTACCGCCCAACACTCTATCTTTGCTGCTACTACCCCCGCTAGCCATCCCACTCTAACTAGCCGACCTACACTTGTTGACCTCAATTTCACCCTTCTGAGGTGTTTGTTTGTGTCTTTTCATGTTTTAGTGTTGTTTTCAGTTTGTGTGTGTTATAATTCTATTTCCCCATTAATTAAACTTATTTTTTTGGTTTGGGATTTCTCCTCCGGTATCATGTACTTTTATTCCAAATAATGTTTTTAATAGTTAATTGTATCCATTAAAAGAGTTTTCTAGTTTAACACCAAGTTGGTTTGGGATTTCTCCTCCGGTATCATGTATTTTTATTCCAAATAATGTTTTTAATAGTTAATCGTATCCATTAAAAGAGTTTTCTAGTTTAACACCAAGAGAAGCAGAAAGTGTAGCAACTTTTCAAAACGAACACAAAATTATTGCTTTTATAAGAATGCAATAATAATGACAGCACCAAGTAGCTTTAATAAGACTTATGATGGTTAAGCAATTTAATTACAGGAAAATTGATATTCAGCTATTACAATGTCATTGCAAATCAAGTACGCTTTATAAATGCCCTTAAACTCCAGCAATAAAACGAAAATGAGAAATTTGCAAGCAAAAGAAGAAAATTGAAAAATATTCCATCCTAAGGTACAAAACAGATCTGATATTGGATGATTAACATACATAAATATTTTGCCGGTGAAACGCTGCAACATAATTTTCAGAAATACTTTTTAATCTGTTTCTAAACTCGGTAGCTCGTGATCCACAGAATGCTTCGCCGGCCAAAATAAAAACATTTAAATCTTCATAGTTCCTCAGAAATTGGAATGTACTGGTTGAGCAAACAGCGGGAGAAGAGAGTAACACGGATGTACGACTAGTTGCAAGCTGCCACAAGCTATCACGCCTTCTATCTAGAGTTTGTGAAACAAATGAAGCGGCTTCTTTCCTCAAATGATAGAAAGGAGAATTAAAACTTGATGAGGAAGTACTAATATCAGATGCATCTATAGATGACACAGAGGAATTTGGAGCTGTAGATCCATGATTTTCTGTAATATCGCTTGGTACTGATCCAGAAAAATCACTTGAACCACCTGGATCTACATTAATTTGAACATCATTTGTGCTCTGAGAAGTATCGACGTTCTTCAATGCAGTGTTTGAACTTTCGTAATCAAAATCCTGCAAAAGTAATCAAGCTTAATTCTGGGAGAAAATAAGCAATATGGCTTAACTATTCAAAACTTTAATGACCTTGAACAATTTGTAGTGTATAATACGAGTATCCGCCAATAATACATGATGAGAATGTTACAAATGACAAAAGTATCAAAATGATTCCCGACTCTTTCAATCGAAGAGTCTATAAATATGCCAATTTAGTCCCCAAACTCTTTTAATATGGGTTGAAATAGTCCACAAGGAGAATGATTTTAACCCCATTAAAAGAGTTTGGAGACTAATTTGAGACTTTTATACTCCGTTACTAAAATTATCCCATTAAAATAGTCAGATGACTATTTTGACAGTTTACTCGTTAACAAATTGTTCTAATAATGTTTGGAGCAGCAAAAAAACAGATAAATGCAAAAGAAAAGCAGAAATATTTCAAAGTTTTAATCAATCATCTTTCAAGGCCTTAAACTAGTATAACCATGTAACACAGACAAGTGGCGAAAATTTATTTGAAGAAACAGAGAAACCACGCATACGTCAATCCACCGTGCAACTTATAAACTCTTTAATTGAAAACATATGCTCATCCAAATTCATAAAATGAATCACTTCATTACAAACAAAAACTAACATTATCAAACTGCTTCAAAAAATGCTTCTGTCAAATTACAAGTCTGAAATTGCAAGCTCTAACTATTATTTCTTTTCTATAGCAATATCATAGATACTATACAAGGTTGTACGAGGATTGCAGGTTGGGAAAAAGAGCAAAGAGAAATAAATAAGTGCTTGATGAAACCAATAGATCAAATAAAATCAAATTACCTCTTTACCTGTCTTTTTGGCTTAAAGCTCATGATTGCGTAATATGAAGACATCAAACTAAACAAGCTGTCCAGTGTCTTCAACAAACAATGTCGAAATTTTGACTCGGGTATTTGTTCACAGAGATCACTGTAGGTGAGCCTGTAGAGATTATAGAGAATGATAAACCCACATATACAAACTGACGAAAAATTCAAGAGGATAAAAATTGTCAAAGCATTAGTGCATAATAAATTAGCAAAGTTGCACTAGTATCCCCTAACATGAAAACGTACAAAGATTAAAAAAAGGGAAAATACATAGGTAGCATGCAACAGATGCAAACTTTCATATTTAAAATACATAGCACTATGGTGTTTTAAACCTATTCGTGAAAATGCGAATTTCACTTTCAAAAGTGGTAATAGTGCTATTTTTTATGTGATACCAAAGATTTGAGTATTATGAGTGTAAATATAAAAGTTTAGGTATGAGAAATGTAAATACATAAGAATTGTGTGCTATGTATGTAAATGCCCCTAGAAAAGACTTTCAGTATTATTTGGGTCATCCATTAAGCACAGATTGTGATCCCTAGCAAACAATTAAGGAGTCCAACACTGCATGAAAATTTTCCCTTATCATAACATTAAAAAGAAAACTAGATGCTTTAGGATAAGAAAAGTACAAGTGCCACAAATCTTATAAAATTTAACTAATATATAAAGTTTTGGCTTTAAAGCATTTCTAGTCATGTTTTCCAGTCATACAATGATGGAACTACAATATACATTAGTTAGGGAAATAAACCCTTATAGTAATAGGAGATTATATAGCAATGAAATTTGGACTAGAAAGTCTTGAAAACATAAGACATGGAAGACAACATTTTATAGGCTAATTTATGGAGCACATTGACACCATTATTAGGGTGGGTCTTCTATTTACTTATTTTTTTTATTTCCTTTAATTTTGCAATGTGCTCGTGCACGTTAAAGTAAATGGTAAATGTGTACCATCAGGTACAATTTTGAGGGTGTCTTCGGACACATTTTTTAGGGTACTGTCGTGTATATTTTTTAGAATACATTCGAGTATGACGACAATCCTGTTATAATTTTTAAAAAAGTAAAAAAATGGTAAATACTTAAAGTAAAACAAGAAAAGATCAATTTAAAGTTTTAATGAAATGAACTGTATTTTTTTTGTCATTTATGTATAGCATAGCATAATAATTTAATACATATTAGATTATAATTACTCATAAAGTCAAACGTACAATTGAAGTTAATGTTTTCTTTCATAAAAAAGAAAAATTTTAGAGTATATATCTGATAAGAGAGACTTGGTTTATCAGAGGACCACTACTGCTAGATATTTTATGATGATAATTTCTCTTTAATGTTTCTCTCACATATTGATTTATTGTTTAGTGCTAGCTTGAGAAGTTTTCTTTGGATGTTATTGTTTTTGTATGCTTTAAATTTTTATTGCAATTTGTGGATTAGTGACTCTTTTATATGTATCGAAAGTTTAAAAAAATTGTGGATAGTTAGATGTTAATATCGTCCGACTACTATATCCGTCTTAGTTAATTATAAGCATTGTACTGAGACGTGACAACATAGGCCTCCAAACTCTTCCCGACTGCCATCCAGACCTCCGACCGCCTCCCAGCAGCCATAAAGGCCCTTTTCAACCCTCTTCATGCTGCTGGCCACCCCTTCCTGTCACCT